ATTGAAACAACGTTGATTTTGCTCATCGAATTAACGTTGAACAAACGTCAGACGCGGCATTCTTCAAAGCTAAATGAAAATCGAAAATTGGTTTGCTTTCATAACGTTGAAACGTTTTGAAAGAATGACGCGTCTGACGTTGGTTCAACGTTAATTCGATGAGCAAAACTACGTATGTCAGATCAACGTTGTTTCAATGTCATATTTCCACGTTGATTCAATGTCAGTTTGCTATCTGGGGTACCCCTTTTCTAACCCGAATTTTTGGTCATGTAAACGCATATCGGCATATCCCCATAGTGATTTGTGTTCTGTGCATGTTCTATTCGCAAGGAATCTTGGTCTTTAAAAAAAAAAAAAAATCCGTGTGCAGTATACCGGAAGTAAACATGGCGAGACACACAGCATACTTTTGGAGCGAGGTCAGTAACGTTACCAGCATCAAAGCGCAAACAAAGGTGATAGCTATCTGTCCCGAACTATTCATTATCCGCTTGCTGCTGTTGTTGTTGTCTTTGGATACAGGAAGAAGAATCGGAAATGGTTGAATCGGAAATCGGAAACTCTTAAGGTTGTCCGTACGTCTAGACGCTAACCGCGCGCCGCCGTTTACATCGGGATACTGCAGTTCCATGTATACAGGAGAAACTCTCTCTGCTCACGCATGTAAACGGGTTATTCCTAATGTTTCAGAAACGCGAATAGTGACCTTAACCCGACCATAACCCGAAAATCTATTTCAAGAGTAAACTGAAATTAATTAATAGACAGAGCATATAACTTTTTTTTCTCATTAAAAGCAAAATTGTTCAACATGTTTATGTTTTTACTTTGTACTTTGTACTATATTTTAAAAATACACATCCAATATACGATACAGGGCTCTATCTTGCACCCGGCGCAAATAACTTTATACACTGACGCATTTATCATTCCTATTTTGCACTTGCGCAAAGCGGACTTTTTTCCTCCACTGTAGCACGTCGATAAACTAGGAAATGAACTTGCGCTCTATGGGCGGGTTGGCGCAAACAACCCCTGGTGCTATTTTGCAGTTCCAGAAAACAATTGCGCCAATGACCAGAAAAAAACTGGTCTAAAGTCAGTGGCGCGTTGCGCTGCATTCAGACTCTATTTTAAGCGCGCATGCTTGGCCATAATACAGAGTGTGAACAATGTGCATAAACTGTAGATGATTCTCTCAGCTACACAGATGCATTTTACTTTTTGCAAATGATACATTATTATAAGAAAAAATATATAAACACGAGGGAAATCATTATTGTGTCCATGACGATGGGAAAAATAGGCATAAAGCTTACACATTTACCTAAATTATTATATGCGTATTTAACCAAAGCTAATTTGGGTGGGTTTGTCCCATCCCCAATGTCCCTTTTCTTTGTTTTACGGCCTTGACGAGAACATTGATCTCCTCGGCTGTGAACCGATGCTGAAGCGCGCCTGGTAAATGCGCCGTTAAAATAGAATTGCGCCATGGAACAAGCGCACCTTGTTCATCATGCTCTTAAAGGGAATGTGATATGACACTCTTATTGGTTTATTTCCGTTACGCCCAAACCACACCTATGAATAATGAAGCTACTTCAGACCAACCCCTTTTAGATTTGCGCCAGGCGCAAGAGGCATTTATCCCACCGGGAAAATAGTAACAGCGCCGGGATCCGCCCACAAAGTTACTAAACCTAACCATATTGTAAAACCTGTCCCTAACCTTACTTGTAGTATCCCCCTCAATAGCAGCAAAAGTGTTTTGCAAAACAATACAAACACAATGAGTACATTGTAGTATAGTGCATTCTGGGCACATGCTTCGGATGTTTGCACACAGAAAACTTCTTGAAAACCTCATGTGATTACAGAGCCGCTTTCCTGTAATATTGTAATAACTACTCAATATATTTACTACATAAATCATATAACAAATAAAGTAAAGGATAATGTATAGCCAGGCGGTTGTTATTAGGGCTGGGTATTGAGACAAATTTCACAATTCGATTCGATTTGGATTCACAAGCTTGCAATTCGATTCGATTTCGATTCGATTCAATATAGATTATTTTGGATATCAGTTACAATAAATGGCCATTTTTCTCAAAGGAATCAAGTCTCTTAACTAATGCAGTAAACTATGGGAGTCTAGTTGTAGCGTACTAGGCTTCATTAGCCTAATATGAAGGTAATAATGAACTGTTTTGTAGCTATACAAACACTTAAATTACACTTATTTATTTTATAATAAGAAGATTATATGAAATATAAACATTTAAATGGTGGCTGTCATAAAAACTTGCCAGATTTATTCAAATATGCATTAAATATTGAAGAACATTAAGATCATAAAGCATATGTAATATGGTGTATATATTTAGCAAAATGCTCCTCTCTGGAGTTATTTTTTTCTAGCTGACTAACGAGTTTATGTGGGTTTTCTGAGGTAAATATGACGATACATTGATTACAAGCTGTTTAACTGACGTCTTTCCACGGTTGAAACGCTGATTGAGCGAATCAATGTGACATGATACGGATTTTGATAAGTTGTCTTTCACACTTTCAGATGCTCATTCATGTTTATTTCGCGCTGTGACTGGTATCATTAACCCGGAAGAGAGATCAGCGCTGCTGCTCCTCTTGAGCTGCACCAGTGCGATCTCACGCCACAGCGCCAAAACGCTGTTTATGTTTTTGAATTTCTAAAGAAAATGGACGTAATTTGAAAATTGAGACTTTGTTTCATATCAATAGTAACAAAGGACAAAGATTATTGTGAGTTTTTGGATGCGCGCAGCCACGATACAATGTCCCATTCATTCAAATGAAACAGGATGACTAATCGATTCTTGAGATTTAAGAATCAATATCGGTTCGGTTCGTAAAAATGAGAATCGATTAATATCGAGAAATCGATATTTATAACCCAGCCCTAGTTGTTATAGCGAATACAAACCCGCAGACTCTAAAGCGGAAGGGTCTTGAATCAGCCTGCGGGGGTCGCTATACATTTTCCCACTTATAACATGGCTACCTACCAAATAAATCAATTATTTGACATAAAATAGTGATTTAAAAAGGAGTTTATTAAATTAAAAATGATTATGTTACCGGAGTGAACAGAACTGTGTCTATAGCAGCATGATCTAGCTGTTAAAACACATGCAATGGTAAAATATCCCAGATAGCAAACTGACATTGAATCAACGTGGAAACATGACATCGAAACAACGTTGATCTGGTATTGTTTTGCTCATCGAATTAACGTTGAACCAACATCAGACGCGTCATTCTTTTAAACTAACGGAAAATCAACTTGAAATCAACGTTGTTTAAACGTTAGGAAAGCAAACCAATTGCATACCAATTACCAATTTTCATTTAGCTTTGAAGAATGCTATTCAGAATTTTTGCTATTCTGCCTGACGTTGGTTCAATGTTAATTCGATGAGCAAAACAATGCCAGATCAACGTTGTTTCGATGTCATAAGAGATGCTGTTTCCACGTTGATTCAATGTCAGTTTGCTGTCTGGGATGTGATCAACAAAAAAGGCTATAACGTTATATTAAGTAAAAATTAAAAAGTGAATCACCAGGGAAAAAGGGAACAGCTTTAAATCCCTCCTCTGCAATTCACTTGAGTCGATTAATAGTTTAAAGGCCCGTTCACACCAGGACGAATATCAGCAACGCGTTATTCATCAGCGTTTTTCAACGCGTTTTTGTGTTCACACCCAAGCGATTTTTGCTGATGATGAGCCGAGTGAACATGCAAATTCATTCCCTAACATTAGATGGTGCCAATTTGCTCTGCAATACAACCCCATAAGAGTTCTCTTTTATCAAGATGGTTGTAGTCCCTATCGCGTTTGTCATATAGTTCTTTATGTTCTAGCACCAACGAGAACAGCAGCTCTACATTCATCTTGCCTTGCATCTTCCTCGTTTTATTTCTTCCTGGCTGTGTAGTGGCGTATAATCCTGATACGTAAAACCGTTGATAGCAAAGATGGTGTACTCTCTTTTTTACATGACTGTATATGTATGACAGATAGTGGAAATATAAAAATAATTGTATTTGCTGTATTCTAATTTTGTTTGCAGTGTTTTTTTTTTTTTTTTTTTTTTGCTATTCTTGTTAAAATAACCACATAATGTCATGATTCTGCCATCATGTCATTGATTTTTCTAGTCTTGTGGCAGGATCATGGCAGAACCATGTTTTGTGTACAAGCGCATGGCCTGTTGTTTGGGCCATGTGCTTGTGTTGTCTCGTTTAATACCCCGCCCCCCTTGTTATCCTCATCCTGTCATTATTACCTAGTCTGTGTCACCTGTTCCCATCATTAGTTTCTCCATATTTAATCCTCTTGTGTTTGCTGTCCTGTGTTGGTTCATTCTCAAACATTGTGTGTTGCTTCCTGTGAGTACTTAGTCTGAATCTTGTGATATTAATTCTGCTTTGTGTAGCTGTTTGTTTTCTTTTCTTAGTCATTTAGTCTGAATTCAGTCCTAGTCTACTTTTTGTCTTAGTCTTGGAATATTGCCTTTCAGTTCTGTTTTTCCCCCTCGTGGGTTTTGTTTTCTCTGTTTTGTCTTGAATAAATTTTGTGTTGAGCATTCAGTCTGCTTTTGGGTTCTTCTATCCGCATCTTCATGACCTATAATCTGGAGCTCTTAATGTGGCACTTTAGCTTATTTAGTGGAAGAGCGAAGCAATGCGCATGTAACCAAAAGGGCTTGAATGACATTGCATGTTTGGCTCCAGATAAAAATATTAGAGGATATACATTCGAAACATCATTACCATAAATTACACTGAGCGCTTGTGGTGTATATGCTCTGTTGTTTTGACACGCTGCTAACTTTAAACTGTAGTAACGGAAAATGGTGCTACGATTGTCATTATGTCTTGCAGTCCAGTTGGAACCAAGCCAGGGAACCGGACTGTGGTCTGCACATTCTGCAGTGTCCTATATGTTTAATTAATTTTAATTTGTTACTGAGATTCTTATCCTCAACTCTCTATTTCAGGTTAAAAAAAGTGGAAAGTGTGAGATGTTAAATCAAGAAGAACGAAAGAGACAAGAGGTAAAGTTCCAGATCAGCCTACCTGATTTATTCTTTCTCTCTCTTTTGGTTTTGCTCATATCAAAATGTTTTAAGACAGATTATTTCAGTTTAAATACTGCTTCTTCTGTGAAGCCTGTCACTTGCCAATTGAATGAACCATTAAAATCTGGCCTTGCATGGGTGTATCCCTGAACTTTTTATCTCGGTTTTGCATTAAATTCCACAAGTCATATTTTGCTTTAAAGACATTAGGCTAAAAAAGGACATGAATATGAAGGAGGTTTATGACAACTGTCATTAAGGGCCCTATCTTGCGCCCAGCGCAAATTACTTTATACACTGACGCATTTTTCATTCCTATTTTGCACCGGCGCAAAGCAGGCTTTTTTCCTCCACAGACGCACGTCGGTAACTTAGGAAATGAACTTGCGCTCCCTGGGCGGGTCGGCGCAAAAGGGAGGCGTGATTCGGTGCAAACAACCCCTGGTGCTATTTTGCAGTTCCAGAAAACAATTGCGCCAATGACCAGTGGCGTGTTGCGCGTACATTCAGATGCGATTTTAAGTGCGCATGCTTGGCCATAATACAGAGTGTGAACAACATAGATGCATTTTACTTTTTGCAAATATTAAATATTATAGGGAAAAATATATAAACATGAGGGAAATCATTGTTGTGTCCATGACAATGGGAAAATAGGCATGAAGCTTACACATTTACCCAAATTATTATATGCATGTTTAACCGAAGTTAATTTGGGTGGGTTTGTCCCATCCCCAATGTCCCTTCTCTTTCGTTTACGACCCTGACGAGAACATCGATCTCCTCAGATGTGAACTGATGCTGAAGCGCGCCGTAAATGCGCCGTTAAAATAGAATTGCGCCATGGAACAAGCGCACCTCGTTCATCATGCTCTTAAAGGGAATGTGATATGACGGTCTTGTTGGTTTGTTTCCGTTACGCCCAAACCACACCTATGAATAATGAAGCTACTTCAGACCAACCCCTTTTAAACTTGCACCCGGCGCAAGAGTCATTTATCCCGCCGGTAAAATAGCAACAGCGCCCAAGACCCGCCCATAAAGTTACTTGTGCTTTGCGCTTGCTACTTGTGTTTCAGATCGTTAAAATAGGGCCCTATGTGTCATTTGCTCAATTATGACATTTTTTATGCAAATATGATAGTGTTTGAGATGTCTTTGTTATGACAACCTGACATAAACCAATACATCATAACTTGTCAGTGATATAAATTATCACACTTAAGAAACCACTTAGCTTTATGGGTTAACATTACATTACATTAAAGTGTCATGTGATTGGTTTTGACATTGGCTGTCATGAGGCCATTATAACTGTGTCATGAATATTTTTCTTGGCCTCAACTACAGTGGCACAAATTTGAATTTGTCATTATAATGTTTTAATGGCCTTATGACAGCCAATGTCAAAACCAATCACAGGACACTTTAATGTAATGCTTAAAACCAACCAACTGACAGTTTAATGTTATGTTAACCCATAAAGCTAAGTGATTTCTTAAGTTTGATAATTAATCTGCGATGTCATGTTTCATATATTTATGACAGGTTGTGCTGTTTTAGTAATGTCAAGTTGTCATGACAAAGACACTGACAGGTTATTATGTATTGGTTTTCATAACAGACATCTCAAACAAAGTCATGTTTGCATTAAAAATATCATAATTGAGCGAATGACACTTAATGACAATTACATAAACATGAAATTACATAAAACCTCCTTCGTATTCATGACGTGTCATGTCATGATTATGAAGGTGTCCTGTCTTACGCACACCCCTTCAAGTAAAGTCTTACCGAACTTTCTGCTTATCTCAGGAATAAATTGCATTTTAAAATATATCAAATTAGAAAACAGCTATTTTAAATTGTAATCATATTTCATACATTTACTGGTTTTACTGCATTTTCAGCAGAGAGATTTAGCAGAGAAGCTTAAGGCAAGGACAATGCAAACTCTGTGCCTTTTAGATTTGTCGGATGTTTATTATTTGTATCAGTTCCTTTCAGCTCTGTGTAAACTTTCACCTGTTATTATCCAGCTTTTTGTCAGCTAGGAGAGATCCTCATGTAGATATGAGCATGAAATCTGTAGTAATTGAAACTAGACAGGTGAAATGCAAGGTCTAAAAAAGGTTTCTCTCCCTTAGGCCATATTTGAGGTCATCTCATCAGAGCACAGTTACTTGCACAGTCTGGAGATCCTCGTTCGCCTCTTTAAGAACTCAAATGAGCTCAGTGAAACCATTAACAAAACAGAACATCATCATCTCTTCTCCAACATTGTTGATGTCTGCGAGGCCAGCAAAAAGTAAGATCTGTCTCCTAGATACATTCAGATAAGTTTGCTCATCTATGTAATGAAAATCTTATTTTATGATAGTTTATTTCACTATTACAACAAATTTCAATATAGATATTTTTGTTATTTTATATTGTCTTTGATATTAAAAATAAGAACAAAGATGCAAATTACTAACAAGAGGACAAACACTATATAAGAAAGATATAAATAAAACAAGCGACAATGATTGGGGTCCAAGCATGATAATATTTATTATAGTATACTGTATACTAAATTTATAAGCGATTCAAACATAAGCGTTTACAGCAGCTTGTCCTGTCATGCTTTGTCAGATGTGTGTGCTGTTTAATGCCTCTGACATGTGTTTTCCTCAGTGCATAACTTACATGTTATAGTTATATCATTATCTGTACATTTTAGACTGTACATTTTACATTCCTGCACTTATTGATGACATCATTTACTGTTTTGTTATCCATATTCTTTCAAATATCTTCTTTTGTGTTCAGCAGAAGAAATTCATACACGTTTGAAACAGCTTGAGAACGAATAAATTATGACAGAATTAAAAAAAAAAAATGGACAAACTTCAAAGAAATATATATATATATATCTTATTATAGCGCCACTATGTGAGAAACACGTTGTAGTCCAAATGATTCTATTCGTTGTAGTTGTTGGAAAATGGATTTTGTTAAATAAAATACACTACATTGCCAAAAGTTTTGGGACATCTGCCTTTACATGCACATGAACTTTAATTACATCCCATTCTTGATCCGTAGGGTTTAATATGGAATTGGCCCACCCTTTGAAGCTATAACAGCTTCAACTCTTCTGGGAAGGTTTTCCACAAGGTTTAGGAGTGTGTTTATTGGAATTTTTGACCATTCTTCTAGAAGTGAATTTGTTGGTCAGTTCCCATGTCCACTGATGTTGGACGAGAAGGGCTGGCTCGCAGTCTTCACTCTAATTCATCCCAAAGGTGTTCTATCGGGTTGGAGGTCAGGACTCTGTTCAGGCCATTCAAGTTGCTCCACACCAAACTCTTCATCCATGTCTTTATGGACCTTGCTTTTTGCACTGGTGCGCAGTCATGTTGGAACAGGAAGGGGCCATCCCCAAACTGTTCCCACAAAGTTGGGAGCATGAAATTGACCAAAATGTCTTGGTATGCTGAAGCATTAAGAGTTAATTTCATTGGAACTAAGGGGCCAAGCCCACCCTCCACCAAACTTTAAAATTGACACAATGCAGTTGGGCAAGTACTGTTCTCCTGGTAACTGCCAAACCGAGACTCGTCCATCTCGTCCATCGGATTGCCAGAGAGAGAATCGTGATTCGTTACTCCAGAGAACATGTCTCCACTGATCTAGAGTCCAGTGGTGGAGTGCTTTACACCACTGCATCCGACGCTTTGCAGTGCACTTGGTGATGTAAGGCTTGGATGCAGCTTCTCAGCCATGGAAACTCGTTCCATGAAGCTCTCAATGCACTGTTCTTGAGCTAATCTGTAGGTCACAAAGAATTTGGAAGTTTGTGGCTATTGACTCTGCAGAAAGTTGGCAACTTCTGCGCACTGTGCGACTCAGCATGCGCTAACCCCACTCTGTGATTGTATGTGGTCGACCACTGTTGTTCCCAATTGACCGTGGAATATTTAGTAGAGAGGAAATTTCACGAATGGAATTATTGAACAGGTGGCAACCTATAACGGTACCACGCTTGAATTCACTGAGCTCCTGAGAGCAACCCGTTCTTTCGAAAATGTTTTTATAAGTAGTCTGCATGACTAGGGGCTTGATTTGATAAAACTGTGATCATGAAAGTGATTGGAACACCTGGATTCAATGATTTGGAGTGGTGTCCTAATACTGTTGGCAATATAGTGTATCTCTTTAGAGTGGACTTTGAGCTTTATAACCTTGCAGATCTTTTTTGTGCTTAACCAGCAACATTACACTCTAACTAAAGATGAAAAAGTGAAAAAGCATAATAAGACTCCTTTAACATTTGCATTACGAATAAAGTAACTTAAGGATCATCTTAGTCAGTGTTGGGAAAGTTCACTTTCTACATCAACTAGTTCAAAGTTCAGTTCACACATTTTAAAATGAACTAGTTCAGTTCATAGTTCATACTTCAAAAAATGAATTTTTTTCGAATATGTTGTGAGCTTCATTTTTTTATTTTTATTTTTTTATTATTGCCACAGCCCAAATACAACCACAGACAACGATTATTTTATAGACGGGCAAAGTTTGCACAGAAATAGAAGATTTTTCCCATCCTCACCGAACTCGTCATAAAACCTGTTTAAATGATCATACGACGCCTCACCTCGACATACATACCTCTCTCGCTGCTTTGTCGACGGCAGCCGTGGTGCGACACTTGTGGCTGGTGTTGCCAGATTAGGTGTTTTTTCACTACATATTAAGGCCTGTTTACGTGTGTTTTAGCCGGGTTTTCGCCTGGAAGGCTCTATACAAATCTGGCACCCTACGAAGTTAAATTGAGAGAGCATGTGTTCACAGACACCAAAATCACAGTAAAGTTCATCAGGCAGTAATACAGTACGCTCAGTTCACGTTCACCCAAAATATGAACACGTTCAGGCACAACACTGGTCTTAGTGTAACTAAGTACATTTTTTTTGTCATTAAATGTACACGAATAAGAGTGAAAGTACTCACATTTAAATGTACTCTAAAAGGGATAGTTCACTTTGAAATTATTTTTTGGTATGTTGTAGCTTACCTCAAGGGCATCCAAGATGCAGGTGTCTTTGTTTCCGCAGTAGTTTCAATTTTTATGTTTTTAGGTCAAACCGTTCTTGTCAGTCAGTCATATAATGCAGGTCACCACCTCAAAGAGCATGCACAGATAAGTCCAAATTAAACATGATTTAATGACTCGTTTCATAGACATGGAAAAGTCACGAAACGAGTGGTTTTGTGTGAGAAAACGAACAGTATTTATATAATTTTTTACCTCTTGTAACCACAGCCATGTCCAACTGAGCTGAAGGCACAGGTGCTTCGGTCTACGCAAGCACCGGAAGTGATCTCTCGTGCATGTACGTTACTCATTATTTACACAGAGATTTCGGAAGTGTTACCTTTCACTGTGAAGATCTAAGCATATTTATATATACATGAAATCGCAATGGAAGATGATTTCAATATATCAACAGACAACATTGAATTTTTTTTCAAAACCATACTTAGATCCGTTCCAGCGCTTTCCGGTGCTTGCGCAAACCGAAGCGCCCACGCACTCAGATCACTTGACTTGGACGTGGCTGTGGTTACAAGAGGTAAGTAAGGGTTAATGCCCGACGAGGTGTCCATTGTCAGGTTTTAATGGACGATGGCGAGGCGTGAACCGGCCGACGCGCAGCAGAGGACGGTTGCCTCCGCCGAAGTCCATTAAAACCTGACAATGGACACCTCGGAGGGCATTAACCTGCTTATACCATGGTCACTTGCCAAATAAAACATTTATAAAACATTAGTTTATATTTTAATTAGGCTAAATCTAGTTTTTACAAATAATAACTTGCCTGACGGTTTATTTAGCAACCAGAGATAGTCCGCTCAGCTTGTAGAACCCTTCAGTTTAAAAAATGCATTTTTTTTTTCATGAAACACAAAGGTAGGCTTAGTTATTTTTTTTTATTACACATAAAACAATTAATCAAAAAAACAAAAAAACAATTAGTTCTGAGCACCAGCGATTTGCTTTTATAGAGGGCAATAAATTAATCCGATCAAAGAGAGGGTCATTTGCCTACATGCTAGCTTTTTTATTTACAATTAATTTTAACATTTCCATTTATAGTGCAATTTGAAAAAGTCGGCCAGTCAGGAGGATCCACAAAAGCTGGGTAACGTTACTGCTGCCCATGATGGGCACTTGATGCAGACAGTACGTTGCTCCAGCTTCGTCTCTCATGGAGAGACGGAGCCCAGTAAGCCCGCAGACTGCTCTCGCATCGATGGCCTGTCACCGATTATTTGACGGCTCTCCAGTCCAGCATCGGAGAGTCGACCTACAGCATACCAGTCGTCAAAGTTGCCATATTCTCCATAAATGTTAAAAGAAATAACAAAGTCGCTCATTGTTGTATTAGGCCGGATTCACATATAGCGCCTAAAAACGCGTAGAAAACGCTGGGCGCGCCGCATTCTCCATTTTCCAAAGCGCCAGGGCGGTTGCGCTTCAGTTGGTTCTTGTCACATGACCTATTGTGTGCGTATGGTCCGCTTGCGGTATTCTGAAAAGTTGAGATGTTTTTATCTCGACGCGGCGTGGACGCGCATGGAAAAAGCGAGCGCGTCGCAACGCGACGGCATCGCTTCCATTATGAACGCGCATACTGCGTGCCTACATTTGAAATAACGAACTTGAGTGCGCAAAAGACGTGATATGTGAACCGGCCCTTAGGCTGTTTGTTTTGATAGAGCGTTTGACTGCCTGTTGCTATGGTTACTCACAGCTGTTGTAGGCAGTGCATTTATTTATAAATTTCGAATGGTAAACAGGCAGTTTCACCAGATCTACTTTACTAGGTGTCCTCTATCACTTTTTAACGGACACCCTGCAGCCAATCAGAATCGAGTATTCACCCAGACCATGGTATAAAAATTATATAAATACTGTTCGTTTTCTCACACAAACTGCTCGTTTTCATGTCTTAGGCCATCCATGTGTACATTTACGAGTCATTAAATCATGTTCAATTTGGACTTCTCTGTGCATGCTCTTTGAGGTGGTGACCATAGACCTGCATTATATGACTAACAGAGAAGAACGGTTTGAGCTAAAAACATCAAAATTGAAACTACTGTGGAAACAAAGACACCTATATCTTGGATGCCCTTGAGGTAGCTAAAACATACCAAAAATTCATTTCAAAGTGAACTATCCCTTTAAAAGTACATATCTTCCAAAATGACTTTAAGTAAATTTATCAGAGAAGCACTGACAGCAAAGTTTTTAAT